AAATTGAATGCAACAATATCCACAAAACTCTTCTATTTTGTGTGAAGATTTTACATTTCACAAGTTATAGTTTGTAACCTGCAGAGTGTTAGCATTACAGACTAAATTAACATAATTTATAAAATATTTAAAGTTAACTGTGACCAGCTTTATGACCATTTTTTTTATATACATATTGTGGGACACTGAATGAATGAATGAATGAAATATTGTTTATTGCACATTAAAATTACAATGACAATATAGAACAGTAATGTAAGTGTCACAGAGTAAGCCAATGTACAACAGGCGGCCTTATTGCTAAGTAGCAATTTCTTCCAGGCAACCTTACGATAGAAATTTTAGAGTTGGAAAGGAGGGTGCAACCAAAGAATGTCTTGTCATGAAAGCGTTTTAAATAAATACACTACTCATCAATAAAATAAATAGGTACATAAATAATAATCATAACTACGTATATTATTAGAACGTATACATGAATATTGGTATATAATAGTAAGGTTACTTATATACTTTTGTAGGACAATAAAATAAATAATAAATAGTAATAAGAATAAATAAATTTACAAAGGAAGGTTATACCACTAAGCAAAAGGAAATAAAATTAAGGGTATGGGTCGAAAAAACCAGAATTAGTAAGAAATATTCCTTAACACACGGAGACCGATGCTTAAACAAGGCTCAAGACCCGTGTTTCGGGAAATCATATCTCCACACTTTGCAAATTACATTTTCACAGGTTAAACACTGATATGGCACAGTAAAATTGTGTGTCAGAAATCTGTTTACACTGGTCACAGTTACACGCTTTACGTAACCAACAGTTATGTTGGCGCAGGTCAGGTAATGGGTGCTATTGCCAACGTATTACCACCACATTGTCTTCGAAAGCATACAATCAACTTTATATAAATTTTATTATAATTTTCCTAATGACATGTTAGATAATTCGTTTGTTGTTAAATAATTTATGGACAATTACTTAGTGTACAGATTTTGTAATGCAAATGCCATGAAATGTATTGGGAAAGACATCAATGTCTCTGTCTACATCGACGCAATGTTTACTTTCGCAGCTTTAGACGTTTATTCTACACTAGCTTTAACACCGACTTCGCTCGTATGTAATAAGAATTATGGTTATTGTTTCCGTTTCCAGTATACAGCCTCTTGTATTGTAATAACTTTTTTTATAAAAAAACTACCTCAAAAGTTCGTGGAATTACATCTATTTGCCAAGTTTTATTGAAATCAGTTGCCGGGAATCGGTAAACGGGATTTATCCCCTAGTTCGTCACCCTTAGAGGTGGAATATTTTCTTTATTTAAATGGGACTGATACTGAGGTATCTTCTTTCCAACAAAAAAAGAATCATCAAAATGGGTTCACCATCAAATTTCTGGGCCGGAGTTATCGCGTAACATACATACTAAAAAAATATAGTCGAAAAGAACCTCCTTCTTTTTTTGAAGTCGGTTAAAAAGGGATAAAAAAGACAAAATCACCTTACTTATTGTCGTTTTTTATAAATAGTGGTCCTAGCAATAATAGGTAGTTATTTTATTTGTAATGTAGTTATATTCAGAGTATACCATATTTCGAAACCTTATTATAATAAAATCCCACGTTATCAATATGTGAAAAGTGCTATTGTCATACGAAATAAATTATATTAAATGTTACAATTCCCTATTTAAATTATAGATTAACATTGTTTATAGAATCTTTAAACTTCTTTCCTGAAACGTTGTCATATTGCAGACACGAAGGTTGCGATTTTATTGTGAATATGACACTGAGATTTCCATTGGTAAATATAGCACGTGGCAATATGGGGCCATTTACAATTCGTTAGCTTTGCGCCCCACATACATCTCGCTTATTTCTAAAATATCTTCATCTTTTTGATGCGGCTATTCTAGAAAGCCACGGTAGGGTCGGTGCCCTCACTTAGGTATCCACTGTTTGTATTAAGTGCTATAAGTGCTATAGTGGATATTTATGTTAGGGCACCGGCTGTACATTGCAATGCAGCGTCATTTTTTTTTTCACTATATATGCATCTGTTCATTCAACTCCAACATTTACTTAATCAGGCACCACACTATCGGTTTGAGCCGTTCAGGAAAACCTTCATTTTTGACGATCTCAGTGGCCTGACGGTTGGTATTGTGGCCGCTCGATGAGGAGGTTAGGATCACATTGGGAAATGAACGTTTCTAAATTCGTCATAACACACACAACAACAACGCACAAGCTTATATCCCCGCATTAGGGAAACCCTGTGTTGTTGTCGTGTGGTTGTCATACCACATACTTACGCCCAAACTCATGAGAGAAATATTTGTATGACCCGGAACCTCTTGTTGTTTTGTTTTTATTAATATACATTTTATTAAACTCATGTCGACTGTCGTTACTAACATCTGTACATACGAATTTTCTACACTTACAAACTTACTTTATTACTGTAATGATTAGGATTACAACAGAGTTACCGTGACTACCAATTATTTTTTTATATGCTACACTTAACTTACTTTAATATTGCCAAAATAAATAACTAACATCTACATTCGGGGGCAGTAATCAGGGTCTTTATAATTAGTATTATTATACTTTTTAAATCCATTTAGAGTTGTTGAAAGTAAAACATTTCCAGATGATTTTATTATTTTATAACGACATGGTCTTTCTGGTTATTCGACACTAATGATAAAAAAGATATTATGTTGTAGTTTATGACTTTTCTTATCAATACAAAAATTAGATTTGTGGTGGTGGAATGATACTATCCAAACCATATCCAAACTATGTAATATTATAAATGCGAAAATAACTCTGTCTGTTGCGTATCACACCTAAACCGCTGAACCAAATTTGATGAATTTTGCTGTAGACGATATGATGTGAGAATTTTTTTATTTGGTTAGTCAACAATTGTTATACCAATGAAAAATCACGAACATGCATGAAAAATCTCAAAACTAAGTGCACAATCCTTTATAGACCGACACTATATGCACATTAAATTATTGCAGAGTACTAAAACGAATTTATAAAAAGATAATTGTAATTATCGAGTTCTTACACTTTCGCGATTGTTACACATAGGAAATGAAACTATTTTTCCGCATTTAAATCGCGTATATTTGTTTTTTGAAACAAACCTACGTTTCGGGCCCTTTAATAATAATCGATTACCATAAAATAACCGAAATCAGATTGATCACCCAGTTTACCACCCTTAGAGGTGGAAAATTGTCTTCAAATTTGAAGACAATATTTCACAAGGGAATGGGAACATTGCTTCGGTAGCGTCTTTCCAGCAAAAAAGAAACATCAAAATCAGTTCACAAATGGCGGTTAAAAAATAAAGTCGAATAAGAACCTCCTCCTTTCTTTAAAGTCGGTTGAAAATGTAAACATTAAGAAACCATCCAAATCACAAAAACAAAGAGTGAAATTATTTAAAAATAAGCAAAGCATAAAAAAGAAATAAGTTGACAGAGTTTTAGGAAAGAGACGACATTACGCGCTTGGTTTTTACTGCCGAGAAGCACTTGCTCTATGGTCATTGTAAAATTTGCACACTCTAACAATCTAGAATCAAAAGAATCAAAAGACAAGCTAGATAGAATAGGCAACTTTTTGTCATAAAAATAAATCCTAAAGGGGGTGAAATTGGGGATGAAAGTTTGTATGGAGAACAAATCATATCTCAAGTAAGTAGTACAGTACAGTACTACTCAAAGTAATTATAGGTATTCTACGCCGACGAAGAGTCGGGCACCAGCTAGTTTTTTTATAGTCATAGAACAAATAACATTTGGTGCCAACCTCAAAATTATTATATTTGAGAAAGGCAGAGCCATTAACACTCTTGTGTTATTAAAAAAATCTACAAAACATAAACTTACTGTTATTAAGAAGCAACTCGACGCAATTAGAATTACATGATTAGCTACCTAAGTTACAGGTTATGTAGATCTAAATTACAATAATCCAACAATATGGCTACTGTTACTTCACACAGTTTGTTTAGTAACATGATTACAGGTAAATTCGATAGTTCTTATCGAATATCTAGGTCTTGAGAACTGCTTAACTGATCAGGGAAGTGTAATGTTAATTGATACCTTAATATAATTATCGTAGACTCTTAACATGGTACTACTTTGTTTCTGGACATGTATTTAGGTGCCTATGTTTTAATTTAAAAGGTAAATAATTACTTTACATTTTTTTTTTTTTTTGCTTCTTAGCTAAAAGGAACTCCGCTAAAATGTCGTTGATGTCTTTCATATGAAAAACATTTTTGTTTTATTTACGTTAAATTATACTGTACAAATTTCAAAGACATGATTTTACTTTTTGTTGTACCCATATTCTAGAAGAACAATGCAATAACAATGGCTAAAAGTACATACTTGAAGTTGTAGTCATTGTTATTGTATTTTTTTCGTTTTGTATTAAATAGACGAACGCATTGGCCATGTAATTCAATGTAATATGTTCTACAGTTAAAATAAAACCTCGGGGGAAACAATGAAATAGAAAGTTACGTTAAAAACCAACATTTTTATTAATATCACAATTTCACTGAGACTCAATCAACGATCTTCTTAACAATATAATTACTTAATTATGAGAATCAGGTGAGGGAGAACGTACCAAATTGTAGAGATCTGTCACAGGCGACAGATTAAGAAATTCTATTAACCTACATAAGAGACGGTGCGATCAAAATCTCACGTAAACCACAAACTTTCTGTTACGTACATTGGAAATGTTATTTCAACATTTAATTTCCACTTGTCAGATCAACGCCAATAATGTTACGTTTCAATCAGTTACTTTCGACATACAGGAAATTTTATTATTGCTAAACAAATTTAGTCTTACATTCAATATTAATCAGGTACAATTCTCTTTTTCTCCAGCACAAAGGCTTATCATACAAACATCAGCGACTTAGACAAATGACCTAAAAAAATTAATACTAGTATCGACAGGCAAGAAATAGATCTAAAATACTTTTAAGGATTTCTCCACATGGGCACGGTTATACGAGTTTTAAATTAAATGCAGTTAGTATCCTTCGTATTTGTAGCCTTCTCCACTGTCTCCGCCGAAAGAGTGGCTTTGCAAGTAGTGGCCCTCAGCTGGCTGAAGCTCTGCGTACGCTTTCAGACCTTCGCTGCCTTCAAAACCGCCGCCCAAGTGCTCGTAACCCTGACCGAGTTGCTCGTAACCACCCTGCTCTAAGCCGCCGTGCTCTAAACCATGACCGTGCTGTAGCTGAGCTGCGAAGTGTTCGGTATCAAATCTGTGGTCTTCCAACACGAGACCGTGTCCGTGATGGTGTTGAGTTTCCGGGTGAATCTGTTTCAGAGCCTGCTCAGACTTGCCCTTTTCCAACGGGTGATGTAGCAGATGGCTATGTTCCTTCTTTACGTAAACAGGCACAGGATGGAAATGTTCAAACTTGATCGACTGGTGTGACTTTGCGTGCTCATGCTCTACATGATGATGGTGTGCTGATTCTCCGATTATAGCCTGGTGGTCGAACTTCTCCTCCAACTGGGGCTCATCGTGGATCACTCCAGGGTAGGCCGACACCACTGCCAAGAATCCCAGGAAAAACTGCACAAACAAATACAAAATTAAGTTTTATATAAAATTACTGTAAACTGAAGTCTATAGAAACACGAATATATACGTGTAGAATGATTAACAAAGTTTTATGTGTTCGTGCCAATTAGTGCTTTGAAATCAAACGATATCTTCTATCGGTTGAGGATTATAGCGTGAAACTAGTTTCACCGGTATCAGGAACTTCACTTTGCGTTACGTAACAGCAAAGCTTCCTGTAAATTGACTAACAACTGAAATGTCAAATTATATTTATTATCATATATGTCACTTTATAATGAAAACACGTATAGTTAGCGTTATAGTTTAACAAATATAGTTTTATTTAGTCGTGACGATGACTCAAAAATTAATTCAATGAGATCGGAACAATTTTTTGGAATACAATTTTTGTTTTTGCTTGATTGATAACATTACGTAATTCCACTAAAGATTCCATACGACACGATCACGCAACGACTGAGCTCATTTAGGGGCGTAAGTGTAATCTAACGACATATAATTAGGGGCACTGGCACACACTGTATTTGATACGCACATGGTACTTCATCGCTGGCGCTTGATCGGACTGTACTCCACGAGAGGGTGGTGGGTAATGCCAGCACTTGTAATTTGCATCGCTTTTATACTCGGTTTCACTTAGCGGTAACAGTGTGAGTGCTCTCCTTACATTACGTGCAATAGTCACATTGTCAGTTAATCCGCGTCTCGCTTAGAACAATAGGTAGAAATTCGTTGGGAGATGTATGGAAAAAACGTTCGATACATGCTTGTTAACATATTTTTCTATTTTTATTACGTCGTAGTGATACGTATAAATACGTAATTGTTTGGTAATCAATCATTATGTGAGTCTCATTTGCATGAAATGGCTTGTCAGATTTGTGTGTTTTTCAGAGCGATCAGTTGTTGAACCGACGTGTTTATCTTGATATACAAAATTGTAAATCGTTTATAAAGTAGTTTGTATAATAATAGATAGGATCACAGAGTTTGCTTTAACTATTTTTTAGTTTTCGCTATGTATACAGTGCTACGGGAAAAGGTTTGAAATTCTTTCTACAATAATAAAACAAAGAATTAATTTATGTTTCTGCCGCCAAGCAGTAATGTGAGCATTACTGCGTTCCGTTTTGAAGGATTCTGGTCATATTACAGGTACATGGGATTTGTCAAGTTATGTTTCGGAGTAACGGGCGCAAGGGCCCCAATGCCCCTCAAATCTTTGCTATTTAAAGCTCTGAGTGATACTGCAATTGCTCATGGTTATGCATGTCGCTTACTACCAGGTGCACGACTTGTTCGTCCCGGCACTTGGTATAATATAAAAATCTATATTATTATTGAAATGTCAGCTTTCAGGTGACTTTCTCTAAAGAGATAATTCATTATTATAACCTATGTGATGTTTTGATCTTATTTAAATTACAATGTAACATTAAAAGAATCACTACAGCTCATCTCCAAGATTTATTCGTAGGTGTAGTAACACACCCTAAAGTAAAAATATACGTCACGGGTCTTATGCCCGGTTACGCTTTTGGTACTTCTTAAATTTTTTGTGAGACCTCACAACGAACATAAAAACTAAGATCGTAGTTATGATCCCGAACTTTTTTTAAATTAAAGCCTAAAGTGTGGATACACATGTGACTATGCTGACCTCCTTTATCGTCGTCTAACTTTTTTGTCACCCTCTTTAGGGTACCAAATATTGCATACGTGCACAATACTGGATACCGCTATAATGAAAACTAAACAATACCATCTTTATTTAAGAACTAGAACTACTTCATCAATGTAACTTACTAATATTTGTTACTTGTTTGCTCCATTTTTGCCTCCACTTCGCTGTCTACATTCAAAGTGTATTTTTCATTATTACCGTTAACTGCACCCGTGGCCGAACGGTTACCACGCTGGTCTGCCACGCAGAGGTCCTGGATTCGATACCCAGGCCGGGAAAAATATTGTAATGCCTACATTTATTGCGCTCGTGAGTTTGGGTACAATTTGTGGTTATGTGTCTATGGCATCCTCAATACAGATTCAGATACATACAGTTTCCCTAGTGCGGGGTTACGAGTATGTTCGTTATTGCTATTATTATTATTATTATTAAATATATAGGCCCTTTTGGAGTGAGTATTGTGTTTAGTATATAATTTTGTTTATTTTTTTATTAAATTATTTGGACCGAGACTCCTGCATTCTCATTTCACAAAGACTAGGCTACTGACCTAGTTTTCTCTTGCAATGTCATCGAAAATAAGCTCATATTATCTAATAGTGTGATTGTAGTCAGAAATTTCAGTTTTTTTAACTGTATATAGGTGTAACAGTTCTCTGGAATCATCGAGTACATAACCAGTCTGGAATATGTAAGTGTCCGTGACACCAAATAACTTTAGTCATTTATCAAAATCGTATGGCCACGTACACGTTTACATTTTAAGTAGGTACAATTGATTTACCCTTTTTAAAACGTCTTGTACTAAAATACTAAAATAACAGGCTATTTTGCCGTGAATTTCACAAACGAGCATTGAATGTGCAATTAATTATTACCTTCTCCACATGATTGCCCACTTTGATCATCCGCCACGAGCCGTCACATTGTCACAATACTTATGAAACCTAAAAGTTTGATACAATTTCCACCGAAATAATATACTCTGATAAGATTACTTTGTATGAGACAATTCTTTTGTTTCAAAAATTGCATTGTTTTAACGAAACAGGGTCTTAAAACGATTGGTAACTTTATATACTTTGTTTGTACTCAACATTTCGTGAATCGTAAAATAATTTCCTAGAGTATCTAACGAAAACATAAATTGTTTCTACTCAGTACGCCTTCTAAGAAAAACATTTGTTAAACGGTGAAATATAATTTTCAAGGTTGAATAGAACATAAAATATTATAATTATTATCTTCAGAAGATTCCTGGCACAGATGTGAGAAACGAATATGTATGTAATTGCCATTTAAAGAAAAGGAAATAATAATAATAATAATAAATAAATAAATAGTAGACAATATCACATACGTTGATCTGATCCCAATGTAGGTAGCTAAAGCTCTTGTGTTATGGAAATCGGAAACAACGACGGTACCACAAACACCCAGACCCGAGACAATATAGAAAAGATTGTTTCCACACTGACTCGGCGGGGAATGGAACCCGGGACCTCAGAGATGGCGACACCATGAAAACCGGTGTGCAAGCCACTCGACCACTGAGGCCGTGAAAAAAAGCGAAAAAAGAAAAACATAATCAGGCGTAGCTTCTCCAAAATTTATATCGAGTTCTCGGGATTGCTACACAATGGAAATTAAACTATTTTTTTAGATATGAAATAACATATAATTATTCGAAGTTATTTTTACAAATAAACTAATACTTAGTTGGCAACTAAGTATTGCCAGGTTTGCTAGGAGACGCTGGTTTGAATCCAGCCGGATCGACATAATTTTCTTTAAGCTTCGCTCTTTGTATTTATAATTATAACAAACTAGTGGAGTAATTTCACAAAAAATAATTGAATATCATGATGGTCAAACATCGTGATATTTAATAAAGTTAAAAAATTACAATGATTAAAACGACATCTCTAGTCAGCTGCTGGTAGCTGCAAAGGTACCCGAATGAGTGAAGAAATAAATTTTTCTCAGATGGCGCTACGACAAAAAACAAAGATCTTCAACAAGCACATAGAAAAATTCATAAATTCCACTGGTCAGTTCCGTTGCTATAGTTGGCATAGCGTCTAGTGCGGTTTGCTGGGAGATGCTGGTTCGAATCCAGCTGGATAGAAGGATTTTTTCTAAGTGTTCGATCTTTGTATTAATAATAATCCCATAACTGTTTGACGACTAATACCACACGTTGTTAGAAAGAATAAGCATACGCGATATTAGATCCGGATAAAAATTAGTTTCCCGTTTCAAACACCATGATATGTTATTTAATATGATTATACTGCTATGTATAATGCCTCAACAATTGCCTCCGTGGCCGAACGGTTACCATGCTGAACTGCCACGTAGAGGTCCCGGGTTTGATTCCCGAGCCGAGAGAAACATTTGTATGGCCTGCGTTTATTATTATTATGGTATTATTTCTATTGGGCGCTTGAGTTTTTGAAATGGGTATAATATCCTTCGTATAAGTGATTTCCCTTAGGTTTGTCAATCTTGTTTAAGCTTCACAAAAACAGGATAGAATTAAGACAGTTAATACGAATAAAATTTAGATAAAGCTATATTAACTTTACAGGGTGGAGTGAAAGGGTGATTACAGCTTGCCAGACTTAATAATAACATTAATCAAAAGATTGCGGCAACATTTAACTGCCTCCGTGGCCGAACGGTTACTATGCCGGCCTGTCATGCAGAGGTCCCAGGTTCGATTCCCGGGTCGGGAGAAATATTTGTATGGCCTACATTTATTTCTCTCGAGAGTTTGGGTGTAATTTGTGGTTGTCTACGTGTGTGTCCATGGCACCCGCGACACAGGGTATCCCTAGTGCGGGGCTATGTTGAGTGTGTGCGTTATTATTATTATTATTATATTATTATTATTATACTTTTGATAAAAATCCATTGATCGCAATATAACCGGTGTCTAATAAAAACGCAGTAGTAAATCTAGGTATTAATTGCCAACAAATGTAATTGGGAAACTTATTATTTGTACATCTTTTTTATGTTCATATAATTAGTCAAATACCGAAATGTGAGCAACAAACCGATGTAAATTAATTTTCAAAGAGGATCGCATCTGCGTCCGCCATCTTGAATGTTTGACAACCAACTAAATGTTGTGTTGTGTATACACCGCACGTCAGTGAAACCTAGTATGTATATGGGACGCCGCATCTAGTACGCTAGTACAGGGAACGGCCCAAAGTTCAAAGTGTCAAGCTTGAAGTGCTGTTGACTGTACATAGATATCGTTATTTATTACAAAATAAAATGAATTACTTAGCACCGATTAATACTATTCAATATCTGCTATTAGCTGGGGGCCATTTCAAATAAAAATTTCACCAAATGATAAATGATTGTAGATGATCTTGAAACAGGATCTGATGCAAGACGGACCTTGAGCTGATGCTCGCAGTGTGACGTAATAATGATCTTCTCATAGCGTAAACTCTAAAGAAATCTACTAAAATTGAACAATAATATAATAATTCCATCTTATGTTACTTCGTTTCATTCGTGAATTAGTGTGAACACTAATTAGATAATATTTCCTAAGAAAAATGCAATCCATTTAAAATTTAACAATTAAACGCAACAGGTTGTGAGATCCCATGTAGAGTCAACGGCATTGTTTATTATACATATGTATAGTGTGCATTGAGTAAACAACATTTTTTTAACGCACTAGGGAAACCCTGTGTCGCGGGTGCCATGGACACACACATAGACAACCATAAATTACACACAGACTAATGAGAGAAATAAATGTAGGCCATACAAATATTTCTCCCGGCCCGGGATCCGAACCTGGGCCCTCTGCGTAGCGGTCCGGCATGGTAACCGTTCGGCCACAGATGCAGTATTATATTAGTTTTTATCTATAAAGAAT